AAAGTTGGAGCAACTGTTGATGACCAAGAGCTTACCAAACAAGTTGCATTTGAAGCAACGGTTGTTCAATCTCAAGATGATTGAAGGAGGCTCTTTAACTGAACATATATCCACATTTAAAGAGTTAGTAAATAACTTAGAGAATATGGATGTTCAGTATGAAGATGAAGACTTGGCTTTATTCTTACTGTCGTCGTTGCCAGAATCCTATAGCCATTTTCGTGATACTATTATCTATAGCCGTGACACTTTAGTTTTAGATGAAGTCTATACAGCTTTGGATTCCAAAGAGAAGATGAAGCATATTACTGGTGGTGGTTCAAGTGATGCTAAAGCCGAAGGTTTGAATGCCAGAGGAAGAACAACAGAGAGAAGTAGAACTTCTCAATCTTCCAACAGAACCAGATCCAAATCAAAAGGCAAACGAAAGTTTTGCAACTATTGTCACAAGAAGGGACATGTGCTTGAAGAATGCTTCAAGTTGAAGAATAAAGAAAAAGAGAAGACGGCAGCAAATGGTAAACAAGCTAGCACTTCGGGTGAAGCCGATGTAGCTGAGGTGGAAGGTATTGGAGAACTTTTGACAGTTTATTCAGATAAACTGGATTCCACTGGTGATTGGATACTCGACTCTGGTTGTACTTTTCATATGTGTCACAACAAAAGTTGGTTTTACACATTTGAAAAGGTTAACCAGGGCTATGTGTTGATGGGTAACAATACTACATGTCCAGTTCTTGGACATGGTTCAGTCAGGATCCGTATGTTTGACGGAGTTATTCGAACCATGGGGGATGTTAGATATGTTCCTGACCTCAGAAGAAACTTGTTATCTCTCAGTTCCTTTGACAAAAGGGGATACGAGTTTGCTGGTAAAGGTGGAGTTCTCAGGGTATTCAAAGACGGCTCCGACAAACTGAGAGCCAAACGAAAAACCTCAGATCTTTACTTTCTTGACGGGCAAACAATTTCGAGTGATGCTGCTGTTGTTTCAAAGTCTCTTTCTGATCCAGATCAGTCCCGTCTTTGGCACCTTCGACTCGGCCATATGAGTTTTCAAGGCATGTCAGAATTGAGTCGAAGAGGTTTACTTGGTCAACAAAAGATTGTTGATTTGGATTTCTGTGAAGACTGTGTATATGGCAAGGCAAAACGAGTGAGGTTTGCAAGTGGCATCCATACAACGAAAGGACCACTTGATTATGTTCACTCGGATTTGTGGGGACCGGCTCGAGTTGCTTCAAAAGGTGGAGCTATTTATATGCTCACTATTATTGATGATTTCTCCAGGAAGGTGTGGTCTTTCTTCTTAAAACATAAAGGAGACGTTTTCTATACCTTCAAAATTGGAAAGTTCAGGTTGAAAAGCAATCAGGTCTGGTGGTAAAGTATCTTCGTACGGATAATGGACTTGAGTTTTGCTCAGAAGAGTTTAATGTCTATTGTCAAAAGGAAGGCATTACTCGACATCGCACAGTAGTCCATTCACCTCAACAAAATGGTGTAGCTGAAAGGATGAATCGCACCATTATGGAGAAGGTCCGGTGTATGCTTTCTAATTCCAAATTGCCAAAGTCTTTTTGGGCGGAGGCTGCTTCGACTGCTTGCTATGTTATCAACCGATCACCGTCACGAGCAATCGAGAAGAAAACTCCGTTTGAGTTATGGTCCGGTAAACCTGCCAATTATTCAGATTTAAAACCATTCGGATGTCCAGCGTATGCACGAGTTGACAATGGGAAGCTAGAACCAAGAGCAATCAAATGCGTTTTTCTTGGGTACAATCAAGGTGTAAAGGGTTACAAGTTATGGAGCTTTGATTTGAAGAAAATTATCATCTCAAGAGATGTTACTTTTGATGAGTCTGCTATGATTCAACCAGTTGCTGACTCTTCTAAAAGAACAGATGCATCAGATGTATCATCCGAAGCAAATAAAGAGTATGCTCAAATGGAGGTGGAGCTTCCTACTTCACCTACCACTAATCAGAGTACAAATCAGCATCAAGATTCTTCTTCGTCGGATGAGCATGTTGTTGGTGAAGATTCAACACCTTCACAACCACAAGCTACTACTCCAAGCATTGCAAGAGATAGACCGAGAAGACAGATTATTCCTCCGAAGAGGTATGCTGAATCTGATTTGGTTGCCTATGCTTTTATTGTTGCTGATAATATTGAGTACGCAACGGAGCCTGCGAATTATGACGAGGCTATCAAATCTGAAGACTCAAATGATTGGATGCTCGCTATGCAAAATGAGATGGAATCCTTGCAGCGAAACAATACTTGGAATTTAGTTCCTATTCCGAAAAGGAAGAGACCAGTTAAATGCAAGTGGGTCTATAAGCTCAAGGAACCTGTCAACCCAAATGATAAACCAAGATACAAAGCTCGGTTAGTAGCTAAAGGCTACAGTCAGATTCCTGGTATTGATTACACTGACATTTATTCCCCAGTTGTCAAACATACTTCCATTCGTGTATTGTTGGGGTTGGTTGCTTCTAACGATTTTGAGTTAGAACAACTTGATGTCACTACAGCTTTCCTAAATGGTGAGCTTGAGGAAGAGATTTTTATGCAACAACCTGAAGGTTTTGTAGTTCCTGGAAAGGAGAACTACGTATGCAAGTTGAACAAATCTCTTTATGGCCTCAAGCAGTCTCCTAGACAATGGTACAAGAGGTTCGATTCTTTCATGACCAGTCACAAATTCAGCAGGTGCACCTATGATAGCTGCGTTTATTTCAAGAAAGGTGACAATGGTTCAAAGATCTACTTACTCTTGTACGTGGATGACATGTTGATTGCAGCAAAAGATATGAAGGAGATTCAGAAGTTAAAAGACCAGTTGAAAGCTGAATTTGAAATGAAGGACTTAGGAGCTGCCAAAAAGATTTTAGGTATGGAAATTATTCGTGACAGGAAGTCTAGGATCTTGCATCTTTCTCAGAAAAGTTATATTGAGAAAGTCCTAAGACGCTTCAATATGCACGAAGCAAAGTCTGTCAACACACCTTTTGCAGCTCATTTCAAGCTATCATCCGCTTTGAGTCCTACTAATGAGACTGATATGGCTTACATGGCACGTGTTCCATACTCTAGTGCTGTTGGATCTTTAATGTATGCTATGATCTGCACACGCCCTGATTTGGCTTATGCTGTTAGCATGGTTAGTAGATACATGGCGAACCCGGGGAAAGAACACTGGAAAGCAGTACAGTGGATTTTTCGTTATTTACGAGGTACGTCTTCCATGTGTTTACGTTTTGGCAAATCTAACACTGGGGTGTTCGGATATGTTGATTCAGATTATGGAAAAGATTTGGATAAACGAAGATCAATTACAGGGTATGTGTTTACACTAAATGGTTGTGCTGTTAGTTGGAAAGCCCAGTTACAGTCTACAGTTGCCCTGTCTTCTACCGAGGCAGAGTACATGGCGATTACAGAAGCAGTTAAGGAAGATATCTGGTTGAAGGGGTTATTCGGAGAACTCGATGATAGAATAAAGGTGACCACAGTTTTCTGTGACAACCAAAGTGCTATCTTCTTGAGTAAAGATCAAATGTTTCATGACCGAACAAAGCATATTGATATTCGTTATCATTTTGTGCGGGATATCATTGAAAAAGGTGATTGTGTTGTGGACAAGATTCATACAGATTATAATCCCGCTGATATGTTCACTAAAAGTTTTCCTATAGCCAAGTTCAAATTATGTTTGGACATGGTGGGTGTTTCTGATCGCAGTTGAGCCTGAAGGCTCGTGGTGGAGGAACTATTATTTATTTTTCCGGAAACAATTTTTCTCTATACAAAATTGCAGTTTTTTATGGAAGTTTTAGAGTTTGATGAGCTAAAGGTTTTGACTAATCGTAAAGCATGACTTGCTTAATTTTGATGTCAAGGTGGAGATTGTGGAAAAGTTGCCTCCAAAATTAGCAAGTGGCAAATAGTTCAGGGGTTATTTCCGTAACTTATCATTTACTATTCATAGTTTGACTATGAATAGTAATCTAATATGAAATTGAAAATGAAATTGGACGGAATGGAGGCGCAGACATTATTATATGTGTATAGTAATATGCAATATGAATTTGAAGATTGTAGGCGCAGCAACTTTTGGACGGCATTTTTGTTTTCATATTAGATTTGTATTCTCCTCTTTGGCTATAAATAGCCAGAGAGATTTAACCCACATATAACCCAACAATCAAATATATATATATAGTAAAACTTTATATATATATATATATATATATATATATATATATATATATATATATATATATATATATATATATATATATATACTGATACACCACCTTATATTTTAGCCCTCTCACTCTATTTGTAATCTCTTTCATAATCCCTGTAAACACTGCAAATTATAGTGAATTGTTTCTCGGCTTCCTCCGCCCGTGGTTTTTTCCCGATTTGGGTTTCCACGTAAATTCCTGTGTCTCTATTCTATTTATTTTATTCGTATTTCGTTGTGATTATTACGATTTGATAATTTTTGATCCCATTCCGCATTGAGCTAATATTATTTAAGTCTATTCGGATCCTTCGTATTTCACAACAGCCCTTCTCACGACGTAAGGGATGCTTGCAGGAGTGATTTGGACTCTTGCATCATTTTAAGACTCACGACGTGAGCAGTCTAATGCTCACGACGTGAGAACGGCTGATGACCAAAAACCTAAGTTTTTCGGTATTTAAGGGATGAGAGGGCTAACCCTTAGTCTCTCTCACTCTCTAAGCCTCCAGAAACCCCAATCTTATTTCTCCTTAAAAATCCTTTGTTATTTGGGTGCCTTTTTAGCTTGAAGAAGAAGATGAGAAGAAGAAAGAATTACTCTAGTGGTGGAGTGAGCACGTATCATCATCATCACCACCACGTTTCACCATTTTGAGAGGAACTAAATTTTTACCAATTTGTGATTTAAATTTTTTTGTTTTGTCCGGGCCACCAAACACTACCTTATATACTTAGTAGGCTCCTAATGCAATCTGAACAATCAGTTACCATGAAAACACCAATTGTACATCAGATTTGGATATCATGATTGTGTTTGATGCTATTTTCATGAAATAATTATCATATGGGATAGAGATATTAATTAAATGAGAAATTGCACACAGATTCGGATCAAAATTTAGATCAAACAAACTTCATAGTACATTTTATTGCTCTCCCTCCAACGCTTTTTGACCCGACCAGTTTTGTATTCTCTTTTCGGCCATGGATGCCTGTAATTTACATCAATAAATCGCATTAAATTTCAAAATTAAAACAAGGATCGTGCTTAAAAACTAATTAGATGATTATAATTTCTTTAGGACAAAAAAAAAAAAAATCTAACAAACGATTGGGCATGGAGAAAAATACCTCTTTTTCCCAGTTGGTTCGGAAGCAAATCCAAATTAAGATCAAAGTCTGGACCACCGTTCCCGTCAACATGCCTACCCATATACCCTACATTTTTTGCAAGATTTAGTATACAAATCAAATTTACGTCATATAATTCCATGTTTTTGTTGAGATTTGGCTAAAATAAAGATGACGACTTGAAAATGATGGATTGGTCATCAAGCCTATAAAAAGGAGTCCAAAGCTTTAATGCCAAAGTGGCCAATCAAAGTAATTGATTTTTTTTTTCTTCACTTGTTTTAGAGTGTAAAAAGTGTCAGTTAAATTTTTGGAAAGTATGGATTTAATTTGTGGTTGGCTTTATAGATTAGTCTAAGTGAGGGTTGTTGGGGAATTTTGAGACCATTTCCCAATAATTTTGTATATTGAATATAATACAATCAATAATGCATGATGTACTACTACAAAGATGAGTAATTGTTTATCAACCTTTACACCCCAATCGGCAACAAATCCTAGAGTGAGTCCCAAAGGAACGCCAAAGATGTAGTAGCATGCTATATTTATGTAAGCAATCACAGCTTGCCATCCTGCCCCAATTGCAACCCCTACATTTTTCACATATTGAAAGTTTTGGTACTCATAAAATTGCAAGAATACATAAAATATGAAAAATAAAAATAAAAACACATACCAGAAAGTGCGGGTTGGATATTGTTAATGATAAGGCAAGCCCCTAACAATGGGGTAAGAGCGTAAACAGCTTGTTGAACTTGTAAATTATCAGCAAATAAGGCTGGATATTGATGCCGGAAAATGGCTAGGATTATGGCCAGCAAAACGCCGATTATAAACGAAAAAAAAATCACTACCACCACTGAGAACTTGGCAGTTCTTGGGTGGGCTGCCCCTAATTCATTTGACACCCTTACGCTGCAAACAAAATTCATTTTTTGGATTTATTTCCACAATGTGGAATCAAATTAACTATTTTTTTTTTTTTTTGAACGAAAGATATTTATTTTGAGAATTTTCTTTCTAAAGTAACTAACCTGATAGCTGCATTGAATCCGATTGCTATCATAACTGCCCACCCAACAATGTTTGTGCTGCAAAACTTATTTAAATACTTAATAGGCCAAATACTTGAGAGCAATTAAAATATAAAACTATAATATTATTTTTGGGCAAATTTCAGATAAGCCTTACATTTTTTTTTCACTTCAGAAAAATCACTTGATAATTTGAATGTTCTCATTTAAGAAAAAGTTTACCTACCGATATTTGATTTGGACTTTTTAGGGTGTTTAAAAGTGGACAATTTGTTGTTTTAGAGTTAACTATTTTGAAAAGACCGGACTTGTTCATTAGTTTATGTAAGGATTTTTTTTGGAATTTGCCATATAGTTTTTTTTGGGGGGTATAAACAGATAATTTCAGTTTGAATCAATATACTTATATTAAAAGTTTAAAAGAACAAACGCAAAAATTGAATAGAGAATATTATAGAAGTACAAAAATGAAAAAGTAACTACATAAAAGGAAGCATTTAATGAAACCATTGAATCACTGCCAAATAAATATGAGCATGATATTTGATGTGTCGCTTTTCTATCTTGAATATGACTTTATAACTTATTGATGAGGACAGAACGAGTTCACATGTGCTTATTCGAAAAGCATATGTGGACCCCATGTTACCTAATAAACCACTTACCAAATCAATTGATACAGTGATAAACATGAGAGTACAATTTGAAGTTTTCCTACGACAACATTGGTCAATTTTGTCATATTAAAATTAATATTATCAAAGAAAATATGTTGCAAAATTTGGTGGGAATCTTTCTTTGCTTATATCAGGAAATGATAAATGAATAAAGATTTAGGTTACATTAATAAAGATAACGTTTTTTTAGTTATAAGTCAGTCCTACACGATATAGTTATAATTTTTTCATGCAGATGTAAATATAAGGTTTGTCAAATAAATAACTAAATATATTTTCAAAAAGTTTTAAAATATAAAATATTAAACCATTTACATACATATCATCCAACTAGATAAATTAAGTATCTAAAATATATTTTATAAAGATATGCGTAATAAATGCAACAGAACTTATGTTATCAATACTTTATACAAACTGATTATCAATAAAAGAATTCTTACATAATGGAAATAATACTAACCATATTGACAGCGCATCCACCGCGATTTCTGCGTTCTTTAAATATCCAGCAAAAAGTACCAATGCCATAAAATACCATGTTTCTAGGCTGCACAAATTATTTAAAAAAAAAATAACTTAATGGCCAACATAGAATCACATTTCTAAAAAAAGTGGTCGTTTTGATTTTAAATGAAAGGGGTAAAAAAGTAATTTAACATACCAAAGCATGATAGCTGATGCTAAGGAAAGCTTAACGAAGCTCCACAGATTACTGAAAGCGCCCAAACTAAACCCAGACCATGCTCGACCACAAGTCCCACTGAGAATATAAATCATCTGAGCGATCACCATGAACCACCATGAAAGGTTGAGCACGATAGCTCCGCCCCATAACCCCCATCCTAACTTCAACATCAACAGCCAGCTAAAAATGGTGTGTATAACCAGCGCCACCGCAGATATGTAAGCCATCACCATTATCTTACTCTGAGCTTGAAGAAACTTGGCGATCGGAAAGTTGAAGGCGTAAGCAAAAAGCTGCGGAATCATCCATATGGCCATCTGCCCCGCCGCGTGAGATATATCATGGGTTTGTCCGATCAACAGGAGTAAAGGAGTTGCGAAGATGTAGAGGGGCAACAAAATGAGAGCAGTGACGAACAGGATAACCCACGATCTCTGCATATATACTCCTAACATATCCACCTGACCTGCTCCAAATGCTTGCCCACATAAAGTCTCTAACGCGCTCCCCATTCCAACCTGTTGATGTTGATTTCATACATCATACACACATCAAAATCAATCGAGTTTTTGTTGATTTCTCTTCGAACAATCATACAAATTACTTGGGGGAAATTTTGATTTCAAATCGTTAATTTCATCTCAGAATGATTTGACAAAATACTAACCATGACTCCAAAAGAGAAACCGGCAATCACAGAGTTCTCGACGGAGACAGCTGCGAGATCGAGTGTTCCTACATGACCGGCGAACGTTTGTGTAATAGCACCGAGTGAATACTGAAAGACAGTAGTGAAAATTGCAGGACCGGCAAGGTACCAGAGCTTCTTTGATTCGACGCCAAATTGGACAAAGAAATCATTTATTCCGTTGATCGGAGGGATATCTTCGACGTCGCCGACGAAGTGAGCGTTTTTTGTGGTAGAGGTAAGTAGTGGGGATTCTGCGTTGCTTTCCATCGAAATATCTCACACAGTAACGTGTGAGTGGAAGGAAGGGGTTTGCAAAAATTGGCTACGGGTCTGGTTTATTCACATGATCACATCCGCATATTATATGCAATTCTTAGGCACACAGTCCCACCTAACCAACTGTTCTACCGCCATCAATGATTACATCCACTAAATTTAAATATTATATTAATAATATAATGTTTTATATTATTAAAAAGGAAATCGAGTTATGTAACAAATTTTTTTTTGGGGTTTTTTTAAAATTATAATAAGTTTTTCTTTTAACTAACATTTTGGTCCGGAATAGTCGTTCGGTCCTGAAAACCGGCCCAAACCAAATATTGTATATATATGGGTCCTACACACATAAAATTCAGAATATGCGTTACAGAATTAGCAGATCCGAAACACGATCTACAGGCATTTCAGACCAAATTTTGAGCATTGATTCGTCAAACCTAGTAAGTTCTATACTTTAAGTTATTTTGCACTTGATTTTCTGAAACGATTTACGTATTCCAGAATTGTTCAGAATAGTCCGGAATACAAGGAACAACTCTGGAATATCCGAATTATCTTTTTTTGTTATCTTTTTCTTGTTATACGTGTATGAATGTCATGTAATTATTTTGTAATGTGTTTCTGATCGGTTATTTTAGTTCGAAATTAGGTATTGTAGGGGTTCCAAAATTGTAATGTAGATCCGGAACACGATGAACGTGGTCTGAAACCCGATAATCTATTACAGAATGATCATCCGGAATAACCATAATGTATAATTTTTTTTAAGTACTGTTTAATAACTCATGTTAGTCCAAATATGAGTTAGCGTGGATGTTGTTAAAAAAAGTGAGTTTTACAGACGACGAGGTTTTATACCATTTACATGAGCATTCAGAATTGCGTCCGATAAAAGTAAAATCGAAAAACAATAATTTTATAATTATAATTTATTTTTACGGTAATGTATTAAAATGTTCTTGGAATTTTGTTTTTGCAGATAAAAAACGAATATGACGAGTTTCAAAAAAAGATAACAAATAAACCAAAAAATGCACCCATAAAATTAAGAAAGAAATCAGAAAGGGTGTTAAAACTTAAATTGAAAGCAGACCGAAACAAATACAGACAAACCTGTTATGATAGACTAGTTGCAATTATGTTTTTTTTGTTATGAATATGTTTCAGGAAGTGTTTATTATTATTATTATTATTAAATGCTTTTATGCACATTGGTTTTTAAATAGTATATTAATATAATTTAGGTATATTCTATTTTTAATCTCCAACATCCAGTGACTCGAACGATGAGGATGAGTTGCCTATAGAGTATGTTATACCACATCTTGAAGATGAGCAACAATGTCTTGTTGATACGAGTGCATTAGAAATTATTCGTGATTATTAATGTGCTAAACAACGAATGGTAATACTGGAAATCTCATTACCGCCTTCATCGGCTGAGGACCGGAGAAAAGTAGCATTGTATAACATGCAAATGCTCCTCATTACCATGTTTGAAGACATACGACAATTTGTGAACACAATGGACATCATCGAAGAAACATGTAGGACAACTCCAACAATAGAAGATCGAGTCGAATTGACTGATAATGGTTTCAAACTAACTGAGACCTACATGGAATTGTTTGAAAATCATGTAGACACGGCTATTTTTCATCGGATGCAAGTTCCCAGTTATCGGCCAGAAATGTAATCTAATTTTAAATATGGATATTTTAATGTCTTTTGAAACTGAATTTTGTAAAAGGAACGGTATGATTATCTAAAATGACAATTATCCTTTTTTCATTAACATTATTGCAAAGAGCGTTATAAAACATAATACATACTTAGATTGGTTTCCACAAATTAGGAAATTGTAAGGGATATATATTTTTTCCGGTCAATAAAATCTCCTCTAATTCTAACAACATCTGTTAGACAGACATGTTTTGCACACAACTTATTGATCTCCGCATTTGCATTTTCAATCCACTTCTTAGCTTGTTTCATTTCTTTCATCGCTTCAGCAACCCATTTTTCTTTTTCATTTACTTGTTTCGGTAGATCGTCTGCACATTGATTTAATGTGCGACTTCAGAGTCCCTTTCGTTTGCTTTTTCAGCAGCCTTCATAGCTTGGAAAACGCCATCAGGCATTTTATCCAGGAGTGGGAAATCTGGGCCTTTCAGAAATGGGTTATTATCTGAACAAACATAACAATCTTCTTCTTCACAATGCCAAACACCATCGTGAGATGAACTCATTCCAATTTTATTTCAACGTTGAGGATGCATGCTAGGTGCATTTTAAGGTCCAAAAGCAATGTCCGGAACAAGTGTCCAAAATAGCCATTCCGGGAAGTGGCTCCGAAATGGGGTTCCAGAATAAGGGTCTGAAATATTGTCAGGAATCTATGACATTTACTATTCGGAATGACTACACATACTGTCAGGAATCTATGACTTTTACTATTGGGAAATGACTACACATATGTTAGGAATCTATGATAATTACATACAAAAGCAATGTCTGGAACAATGGTCTGAAATAGTTGGTCTGGAACGTGGCTCCGGAATGAGGGTCTGAAATGCTGTCAAGAATCTATGACATTTACTGTGCGGAATAATTATACATATTTCTGGAATCTATGGCTTTTACTGTTCGGAATGACTACACATATGTCAAGAATATCGGACAATTTGTATCTTCCCAAAAATTTAAAACCAAAAATTTCGTTTTCATAATAATAAAACCATCAACCAAAATATGTTCATAAAGCCATAAAGGAAAATCAAAGTATTTCAATCAATCATCTCAATACATCAGAGTCAAATAAAACGGAATTCGTGGTGTGTGCGATGCGATCAACGCTAGCTCTTCCCCTTCGATCTGGAAGTACCTTAAACAATAACTGAAAACCGTAAGCACGAATCTTAGTGAGTTCCTTAAATACTGCATACCATACATATCTGCCTGCTCAAGGCTATACCAGGTCTATTTCACCCCCGAGTATATTTTAACTCATGTGTCGGCCCGTACCGGGTCTATTTCACCCTCGAGTCTATTCCAACTCATATGTTAGCGCAAGGCTGTATCACTTCTATTTCACCCCACATACATATAGCACACAGACACACATGCATATAACACATACAGCAGGAGTCACAAAGACTACAAGCACATAACATATCCTAGTGTCCTACATTATAGTGAGCAAACTTACCTCAGTCTGTTGTCAGTCAAGCAAATAATCGGGTTGCTGAACCGGAAAATCCCCTCTCTAATCAATCAAATAAAACCTCAATTAATAATTGGGACATAAACTATAACTGGGAATCTACTTCATTTGTCCAATATCCAGGGTAAAATACCATTTTACCCTTTCCTCTATTGCCTCAATAACCGAGGCCCAACCCAATGACACCCAAAAGCCTAATATGGCCCAAATTCCTAAATGATACCCAAAGCCCATTATGGGCCCAAATCCAAGAAGGCCCAAAGCCTAACAATGACCCAAAGTCAGAAAGACTTGTGGCCCAACAAGGCCCAAAACCTAGTAGTCCAAATCATGAAAGTCAACAAAAGTCAACAACTGCTGAGTACACCCAGTGTACTCAGACTTATGCCATGTGTATGCCATCTTTGGCCAGTACGCGCTACGTACGAGTTGGGTACGCCCAATGTACTCCACAGCAAGCCCAACTCACCATTAAGTGCTTAATCGGTTAAGCTACTAAGTCCATTCTCAGATTTGATCCTAAATGATGTCTTAACATGTGAAGTTGGCAACTTTACTCCTTTGCATGTCTTAATGGGACCCAATACTCAATAAAACCCTTAATAAGAACCCTAACTCAGGCATGGTCCAATATAACACATCAATATTGCATTTTCATGAACATGGGACCTCAAAAATGCTAAGATCTACCATCCCTAGCTTCTGGAGTAGCTAATACTCTCAAGCATGGCTTAAAGGACCATAAAGCATAAAAATAAGCCCTAACTAGATCTATCAAAATAACCATCAAGTTAAGAGCTTTATACCTCCAAATGCTTTCCAAGTTGGAGAGGATTCTGGATCCACAAGCTCTAGCCACACCAATGCAACTTCCAAGAGCTCTTCTTCCTTCAATACCACCAAAAACACCTTCAAAGTTCACTTCCAAGCTCAAAACACTCAAGAGACAATTAGGGTTTTGTTCTTAGGGTTTGGAGAGGTGGAGATTGGTTATAAGAAAGTCCATGAGCAACTTAAGGTGTTTAAATATGGAACAAACACTAAAAATTAGGGTTTGCCCCTTGTGACCCTACGCCCTGCATACCCCCACGTACGCCCCGCATATGTGGGTCCTCCGCGACCATGCCATCGAGCTAGTACGCCCAGCGCACTCCTAGCATACGCCCAACGTACTTGGCTAGGGACCAAAATGCAATAATTTTTAAGGTTAAGGGGAAAAAGGAAAATACCTGGAATGCAGATGTTGCACAATTATTGTTCCGAAATTAGGGTCTAAAATATAAATTCCGGAATGTGGCTCCAGAATGTGTTTCCAGAATAGTGTCAGGAACCATAACCCTAGTAAATGCCATTATATAAAGGAATTCAAGCATCCAAACTCTTTACCTTGTTAAATTTACTACTAAAAGTTCATTTCTCATAATTCAAAGAAATGGCATACTGCGATTGTAGCTCTGAAGGTATTATAAGGACATCAACGACTAAAAATAATCTTGGAGGGCTTTCTAAGCTTGTCCTAAAGAGGTATGTGGGTTATCCTTTTATTATTTTTCTTTGAATTAATATTAATTTACACAATATACGACATGTGTTTGATCTTAAATTTTCAAGGACCACAGTCTGGGTTTATCTGTTGGGTTGACAAAGCAAAAGACAATAACTCGTTGAGAATCAATAACTTATTCTGATCGAAGAAGTAACTTGAAACCCAAAATATGCACTTGGAGATAGCGTTAACTTGTAGTTGGATTTTCTTTTTTGGAATCATTGTGTACAAGTTGTAAGCTTTATGTTCATTAACTAAGTTTCCCTTCTGTAATGCTTATTAATCTTTTTAATATGTAATGTTTGCTTGTTTATTAGTATTACTATGGTACTTGTAAATT